GTTCGAGTCGCATAAGACGATAATTAAGAATATCAATTTGTTGACTGAGGCTCAATTAAAAAGTTATTAAAAAATTTCAAATCATTCTGGAAAAATTATTTTTGGTTGCGGGGCTCAATTACAATCATTTTTAGTGGGCACACATACCACCGAAATCCTACCCATTTTCTAAAAAAAAATTCGAGAAGGTGTGAAATTTTTCCGCAAAATTGAAATGTTTCAAATCGTTTTGGAAAAATTATTTTCTGTTGCTGGGGTCAATTACAGTAATTTTTGGTGAAGAGACCTACCCCTGAAATCCTACGCACTTTCGAAAAAAAAATTCGAGAAGGTATGACATTTTTCCGCAAAATTGAAATGTTTCAAATCGTTTTGGAAAAATTATTTTCTGTTGCTGGGGTCAATTACAGTAATTTTTGGTGAAGAGACCTACCCCTGAAATCCTACGCACTTTCGAAAAAAAAATTCGAGAAGGTATGACATTTTTCCGCAAAATTGAAATGTTTCAAATCGTTTTAGAAAAATTATTTTCGGCTGGGGGGTTCAATTACAATCATTTTTAGTCAATAGGCATACCCCCGAAATCCTACGTACTTTCGAGAAAAAAATTCGAGAAGGTGTGAAATTTTTCGACAAAATTGAAAAGTTTCAAATCGTTTTGGAAAAATTATTTTCGGTTGCAGAGGTCAATTACAATAATTTTTGGTCAATAGACCTACCCTCGAAATCCTACCCATTTTCTAGAAAAAAATTCGAGAAAGTGTGAAATTTTTCGACAAAATGAAAAGTTTCAAATCGTTTTAGAAAAATTATTTTCGGCTGCGGGGGACAATTACAATCATTTTTGGTCAATAGACCTACACTCGAAATCCTACCCATTTTCTAGAAAAAAATTCGAGGAGGTGTGACATTTTTCGACAAAATTGAGAAGTTTCAAATCGTTTTGGAAAAATTATTTTCTGTTGCGTGGGTCAATTATAATCATTTTTGGTCAATAGTCATACCCTCGAAATCCCGCACATTTTCGAGAAAAAAATTCAGTTTGGGCGGAACTTTAAACGTTAATAACTCTGTAATCACGCCTCCATCAACAAATTACTATTCTTGATTTTCGTCTTATTTTAGCCTCTAGAATTCCCACTAAAATTGTTCCCATAGGTAGTCGAACACTCTGCATAATTTTTGATGATGCAAAATTTCTAATAAATAGTACAATTGATAATACTATTATCTGTATTGATTAGGTAGCTAAGTGCAAATAAATACAGCAGTGGAAGTTATGAAAACGAAACCCACGCGCGGTGAGTAATACTTTTTCCACCATTTTGTATACCTTCCCTTGCAGTTCCTCAAAAAGAAAAAATTCCATCTGGTGTTCGTTCCTGGTCTACGCCATCACGTCTGCTCGGCAATTATTTATCCGTGCCTACCGGAAGCGACGAATCGAACGCAAATATCGTAACTTTCACGAACCGTCGATAAAAAGAAGCGACATTTGAAGCGCACGAAACGAAATTCCATCGAGATTACGCGCGGCTCTCGGATGTCGCTCGTGTCGGGGCGAACGCAGCAACGGGCGGAACAGGCCGAGATATTCTTACCTTTTCATTACCGCCCACGCCAGGGACCCCGATGCGGCCGGGGTGAAGTAATGTTTCGCAGATCGCGACTAGAAATAATCGGGGATCGATTCTGCCTCGTGAGAAGCAACAAAGTGCCGCGGTCGGAATGCACGCACGGAGCTGCGTGAAACGAATTCTGTTTGAGGATTCCGACGCGGTTCTAAACACGCACCCCGGTCTCGTATTATTGTTATCGCGATTTCCATTCGCTGCTTTTAATATCCCGTTCTCCTCAGCCCGAGATCCTCGACGCCGCGTAAAAATGGCGGGGCAATATTTCCACGAAAACTATCGAACGCGTTTGTTTCGAAAACCATCGAGTCTCGTCGCCAGCGACGATGTCGTTCGATGGCACTGTTTGTTCTGCGGTCTTGTGGTCCGCCAAACGCGCGGTCACGCTCGAATTTTTCGTGTTGCGTGGTTGGAATTAATTCGGTTGACCCGCGACTAATTAAAAAGCCGTATTGTTTACGCGCCTGTTTATTATCGCGTGTCGAGCAAAGAGGAGCGAAATGTAACGAAATATTTTTTTTCCAAGCGCTCCTCGCCGAAAGGCAAACAAACGTTTTCGACACGGCTTACGCCGAGAGACAATAGCTTTCCAAGTGCATCGATTCGAAAGTGTCCGACCGGAAGGAATCGGTGCAATAAGGGAATCTACGATATTTGAAATTTTTATAAAAAACCAAGCCATTTCGATCCTCGTCGATTTTTCGAACACTAGTTGCTCTATAAATTGAAATCGATTCGGGGAATGCGAGTCCGGCTGTATTTTTGGTGGGAAAAAAGATACGAAACAGCAGCTTCCGTGTGATTCATTACGTTTATTTCGTAAGGTTTTCGTATTCGCACGACTCATCCTACGTTAATAGTTTTGCGGTAATATTATTAATATTAATCGTAATACCAATACGTTTTTTGTATACATATATATATATCTGTCTATTTATACATATATAGTTTCATCTATACAATCTATATCTATTTATATATAATATATTTATATTCTTTGTAATAATATACACGCAGAGATCTATCTAAGATTACGATTTCTCGTTCCAAATCGTTTCTATTATTCACATATCGCACGTTATCAATAAATATATTATCTCAGCTCTCGTCGAAACGACCAAACTCGTGCGAGCCTCGTGACTCGGGTCTCGCAGGGAATGACGTTACGAATAAATGCACAGGGACGAGACACGCGACCTTCGAAACGATCGCCATTTTGCTTTTTTTTACAACGAATTCTTATCACGTCCTCCAGGCTAAATTATCTAGGAAGAAACTTTCATGATTTCGCTGAACGCATCCCGCGTGAATCGCGTCTCGCGACGAACTTGTTAATTATTTTAACTCTCGATCCTAAACCCGATAAGATCGCCACTCGATTTGGATCACGATTAAAAGCTATTCGCGAGAGCTGAAAATGTCTCGACGGTACAAAAGAGGGGGAAAAAATCGAGATTTAATTTATCAAAAAAAAAAATTCGAACGATCGATCGCGGCGCTCGGTGCGCGTCGCAATGGACGCGTTGGAAATCACGAGATTATACTTTTTCTATTTACTTTCTCCCCATTTTTTTCCATCGAAAAATCTGTTCGTACGCGGCGGCGTTCGCGTGTGCCGTGGGCGGACGCAGGCTAAAAACAAGGACGATCCGATGTTTTTTCTGTCGGTTAATTTGTGGCAGTTTGTACAGTCGCGGAATTGCCGCGCGGCGGTACCGCGAAAAAAACATCGTCGCGAAGAAATTGGAATTTCGAAACGGGCGAATTATCGTAGGTCGGGAGCGATCCTGGCCGTGTTTGCACAGGTGACGACTATCGTCATTGATATTCACGGTTATTTTCGCGGCTGATCCCGCGTCCGATTCATTTTATCTGGCAACTCTGCTGGAGATAAGAGCGATTAGAATCGTTCGATTAAAAGAAAGATCGTGTGTTGACCCTGGAAAGACCAAAGGGGTTGCCTCGAACCCGCCGTTTAGAAAACGTTTTGAATAAGTTACTTTAAGAATTTTTTACGACGAGTCTGATAAACTGTAACCATTGCAATCGTATTTCTGACATTTAAAATTATTTATTTACTCTTAAACACGTCGCCTGGTGGATCTCCAGTTTGTGAAAGAAAAATGTCACGGAAACTTTTAACATTAAAAGTGGTTTCTACGGTGTTCAATTCTCGGGTTAAACGTCGTCGAAAGAAACGACACGGGAGGAATTTCTATGGCCGCCGACGGCCAGTTAGAGGTTATTTGTCAATCCTCGAGCTCCTCCACAGCGCTAGAATACACGTGTTCTGGGGATTTTTTTGGTATCTAAACGGTGGACACGTGTTCACTGATCGCGATAAGGATTTTAAAAATGGCGAGCGTTGGAATTCGAGGAAACTTGAGATTTCTTTTAGGTTAGCTCTGCCTGCTCGTGTGGACAGAGAAACGTGACAAATAACTTCATATCGATGATCGAAGTGGAGATCAACCAGGGTTTAGACGAGTCGAGTTTATTGGGAATACTTGACGGTAAACATTTTCTTCGACGGAATCGCTAATAATTGCTTCTATTCGTTGACGTCGTTGCTGTGCCTACTATGGTTCTATCAAGAAATATCTTTGAAGCCCCTTTGGGTTTTGACTCACTTTTGCAAAGTTTACAAAGCTGCTAAAAAGATAAAGATTTTTTTATCGTGATAACACTAATTTAAGATCAAAGGGTGAATCTAACCTCCAAAGTGGAATCACCTTCGCCACTACTTTATGCTTTTTTGGTTTGAATGACCAGTTGCTGTGCAATTAACCCTCTGTAACTCAATTTGACCCCCCAAGTCACATATTCATTATCTACGTTTTAATTTAATCCTATTATCAATTTTGTTTTTAAAGTAATAGAAATGCCTGTAAGGATCCCTTGTTGTTGGAGCTTTGTAAACCTAAAAATTGTTATCAAAACCACGAAGGGGGTAAGCACTTCGTGGATATTCCTTGCAAATACAGTGATTCCGACTTTCAAACGACAATTGTTACGTTTATAACATCCCCATTGGCATCGGTTCGACGTGAAAATCGCTGCCCCTAACTGGCCACTCGACTTTGTCACTCGAAAACGGAAACTACTGGCACATCACGGCTTTCGTTAACCACAGTATCTACAGCTATTCATCGCGTAACTCGGAACAATTTCTTCTGGGTCGATCGAAGACCACCGATCACTTCCGCGCCGTTTCATCGTGATTCTATGACTTATCTAGTTCCATTCTTTGGCGAGCTCCTCCGTGGAGGGGATCCACTCTTGCTTCACGTAAACCAGGCTCGGGTCGTAGTGATCGGCGTGGTGTTCTTCAAGGCCCCGATGATGAAGCCTTGAATTTCGGTATTCTCAGTATTTGTGCAGCGTGATCGGTAAATTGCCGCTGGTGTTGACGGTGTTGCAGTCTTGGTAATATCTGTGGTACAGGGGCGGCGACGGTGCCGCACTCGTCGAAAGTGGTGTGGGTGGGCTGGATCTGAAAGAACACCGATAATCCACAATTAACTACTGGTTGCTTCCCAAAGAGTGTGATTGAGAAAATGATGACCCCCTGAAATATTTTTTGGTGTCTCTGTATAATTCCCAACATTTCTCTATTAATTTTCGAATACAAGGCACGCTCAACCGTGATCTTGGTTCTTACCTGTAAAGCTGACAGCTCGGCGATTGAGTGTCCTGGTAAATGGCCGCGGTGTCGGGACTGGCCGCCTCCTGGTACCATTGCGAGTGTCCCGCGGTGTTGTTATGGTTTCTCGAATTGTATTCCGCGTGTTCCATTATGTAACCGGTCGCTGGCGTGCAGTAGGGCGCGTACATGGTCCCGGGCGGTGATCCGTTGCTCCTGGAGACGGTGCTACCGTGGCCGTATCCGGTGGTCGCCATCATCGCCGCGACGGCGGCCGTCGTGGTGGTGGTGGCCGAGCACACGGACGACAAATGGTCCCTGGACACCACACCCGCGCCCATCGACTCTCTGCTCGTCATGATCGAGTGCGAGTGAGGGTGCGGATGCTGAAGACCGTGAGGGTGGTGCGCGTGGTGCTGGCTGTCTCTGGACATCAACGCGGCGCTGTTCTCCCGCGTCGTCATCAGAGCATCGACGCTGAAGCTGGTGGGATCCAGGCCCATCGATACGTCCTGGATGGGGTCCTGATGGACCTGGTGAGCTTGGTGGACCTGGTGGCCGAGCGCCGTCTGTATGACGCTCTGGCCGGGTATCGCGACGGCCGCCGTCGTCGTGGCCGTGGTTTTCGCCTCCTGAATCGGACTGTGAAGACTGTACTTGGCCTGCACGGCCATGCAGTGGCTCCCGGCCTCGTTGACGGGCTCCCGCTTCGGTTTGCACAGGGTCGCGTCCAGCGTGCCCAGTTTCTTCGACGCGGCGTCCGTCGGTGGCTGAATGACCATGCTGCTCGGTTTCGCGTCGTCCTGGCTGCGTTTCTCCGGCACCAGGCCCTGCCTCTTCAGCGCCTCCTCCTTCTCTTTCAGGGCGTCCTTCTTCTTGAAGCGTCTACGACGTCTCAGATAAGAACCGTTATCGAACATGTTGTAGCTGTCCGGGTCCAGCGACCAGTAGCTTCCTTTGCCCGGCTTCTTGTCGTCCCGCGGCACCTTCACGAAACACTCGTTCAGGCTGAGATTGTGCCTGATAGAGTTCTGCCAGCCCTGCTTGTTCTCGCGATAATAGGGGAACCGTTCCATGATGAACTGGTAGATGCCGTTCAGGGTGATCTTTTTCTCGGGCGCGTGCTGTATCGCCATCGTGATCAGAGCTATGTACGAGTACGGCGGCTTGACCATGCCCTTGTCCGGATGATGGATGTGTTGCTGGGTGATACCAGAGACCGGGTAGCCAGCCGCCGTCGCGTAACCGCCGTACCGGTACTGCTCGTAGTATCCTGGCGTGGCACCGACCCCCGGATAAGACGGGGTCCCCATCCCAACGGGGACGGCCGTTGCGTGCCGGTAATAGGCATTCTGCTCGCCGAACAGCGTGTGCATCTTCGCTGACGCGTTCGTGAATTCGTCAACGCGCTCGTAGCGAGGGAATATCCTTCCGGAGGAAGACTCGACGGCTGCCAGCCAGGAGCTTTCGCGTTCCCGTTCGCGAAACAACTTCAGTATTCTCCGGACATCCTCGTTAGCCTGGATTCTTTCTTTGCGGTCGTAGCGATTTCTCACTCACAGTTCTCAGATGGTCACTCACGCGGGTTCACACTGTCTCACGAGTTCTACACCAGATCGTGACGCGGGATCTCGCTCGATCGCGCGATTCGATCGAGCGTGCGGTCGCGGTCACTCACTCAACCTTCCGCGGGGTCGAACCGTACACAGCGGCAGCCATCAGGTCGATCGATGACGGATCGTCGACGATTGATTCCCCGTCGGCGGGACGGAGACGGCGGGTTCGTTTGCTCGTTAGTCGGTGTTTTGTTGACGCTTCGGGAATATCTGAGTCTGCTCCGTGGAAAGTTACTCTCCCCGACGGCCGAGGAAGACGGGCGGCGCGTTGGCGCGAGACGAGGGTGCGATTCGGTGGTCGATGCCAGGCTAACCCGTAAACCCGCGTGCACGCGTATTATGATACACAACAGGCCGGAGTTTACTCAACCCCGAGTAAAAACACACTGGGGCCTCGGCCTAGCGAGCGAGCGAAGTGTTTCGGAGTCGTGGCGAGCACGGCTGCGCGACCCGTGGCGTGGCGCCTCTCTTCGAAAAATCAACGGTACGCGTCACCGGTCTGCCGCCTCTCGCGCCTCCGCCAATCCCGTAGCCGTCACGGCGATCATGTGACTCCACCTACGGGCGGCGGCCAATCGCGCGCCGTCTCGTAACGAGGCGAGCAGGGACGCCTCTGCGACCCGCGGTGCCAACAATCGAGCGACGCACCTAACCTAGTCACGCCCTCGCGGCTCTCGCAGGGCCGACGCAACGAAAGCGAGACAACGAAACGTGTCGCCCCGCGTGGTGTGAGAGCCTCGTGAAATTTTTACCGCGTGATCGCGACTACCACTGGCCGTCGGATACTTTTACGACGTCGGATCGACGGATTCGACGAGATCCGGCGAAGGTCGTGGTCGGAAGATTCGGCCCGAACGGGGGACGGTATCGAGCCTCTAACGGGCTGTTCGGGCACCGGCTTGGTCCCCCCGAGGAACGCCAGGGGAATCCCTCGAAGTGACACGGTCGACCACGTGGTGTTTCGATCCTATCGATTTGCGTTCGTACGGGGTTTCTGAGAGTGTTAATCCAGTGAGAGATTTCGTTCTAGGCGGCCCGGAGTTCTCGATGGATAATTGTTTTTGCTGGTGGTGGTAGGGGTACTTCCCTTAGTGCCGCAAGTTTCATTTAAATTGGTGCAAAAATATGAGATAAAGGAGCAAAATAATCAACGTTATTGTAACCTTTAACCGAAATTAATATTATTCTTTGGTACATGATTTTCAAGGGACGATGTGTGCCACCTAGCACCGGACATGACAAAAGTGAGTAATACGTTTAACGTGGAACGGTTTCGAAATAATTTACAACGATCAGAGATATAATTGAACGTTCAGGAGTATCAACGACACATTTCCTCTCATAAAGATGTGTTAATTCTTTGGAAGAACTTCGGTGATAAAGAACACGCGCTCCTAGCATTCTCGATTTTTCAGATTGCGTTTATGCGAATGGAAAAACTAACATAGTTTTGTGTTTCGTATCAATGCTAGCCCCTGTTTAATTTCTGGTAAACGGTATCATGGTCGTACAATTGCTTATATATTTTCATTGTGCTTCTGGGTAAAGTAAAAGAGCGTAATAAATTTAAATAGAGTCCTTTGTTTGCAACAAGATAATTTAACTTAGAAATCAAGTAACGTGGATTAAATTTTGATCGCCATTTGAATATTGTTTCACGTTTGGCGCGCATTGAGTAGAACTCGTAGGTACGTTTGTTTCCCTGACACAAATACTTTTATATTCATACTTGGTACCATCGTTAACAATGTTTGCATTCGCCGACACTTTTCAAACGATAATGATCTCAATTGCTTCGCCGGGACACACGCAATTAAGAGACAAAAGTCACACGTATCTCGCTATCACTGTATCTCCCATATGCTTAAAAATCTTTGAATTAAGTCTGCACATTTATACTCAAGACATTGCAAGAAACCAATTCACGAAAAATTCATAAATTAATAACTCTTTGCTAACCATTTATTCGATGGTAGCGAATTTAGAAACGGATATTCTTTACAATTACAGAGACCTAACAAAAGAAAGGATTTTTATTTTTTAAAAGGCGCGTGATTCATATGAATTCCCTCTTAATTTTTTCCTAATTTGTAAGAATCGATTTTTGAACAATGGATAATTGCCTGAGGAAGATCGACGTTTTAGAAAATCGATTTAGCGTCGAATATTCGTAGGCGACAGTTTTTCCACGAGAAATACAGATAGGTGTGTAATCTGTGGACGAAGAAACTCGAGAAACCCCGACGAAAGAGGCTCGAGTGGTAGAGTTATATAGATAAGGGTGGGACATCACGTTCTTATAGACGAGGGATTCAATTTGGCGTCTGTTTTTCCAAGGGTTCGACTCCAGCCTTGCGAAAACACTCGAGAGGACACCTCGGCTTCCATCTTGCCGTTTCTCCGCTCCTCCGCGAATCGCCCGAACTTCTATTCAGGTTCTCAAAATATCTTCGATCGCCGCAATGTTCCACTTTTTCGTTTACGGTTTCGCGGAGACCACGGCTGCGCCATCGGCGACAAATTTTCCAACTATCCGCCATCACGGATCCCAATCGAGCAAGCCCAGGCAATCTTCCGCCATTTTCTAATTTTATTTCGATTCTGGCAAATATCATCATTTTTCCTTAATTTTTTCCCCCTTGGATCACTACTTTGGTGGTTTCCAAACTTTTCAGAAGATCCTTACGTAAGAAAAGATAATTCTCGAGTGGTAATTTTAAAATAACACAAGGAAAATATACTCCTACGGTAGTTAACGGAAAGAAACGCTCTAATCATCCACGTCTTTCGCCTTCCATTTTGGAAAACACTGTTTGAAGAGAAATTTCAACTTTTTCTCCAGATTTCGTTATTAATAATCGTTTCAGAAACAGTTGCGGATAAATTGTAAATATACGATGAATTATAACTATACGTATACGCATGTAAAGTCCGTCTAAGAATTATATTATAAATCACTAAATTATTGACTTTAAAATACCTTTGTACGCGTGCATTGCCGTCGGTTTTGAAAGGCTTAAAATTAGATTTTACAGCGTAATAAATCAACTATTACACTTCCGTAGCAACCTTTAACACAGACACGGTAAATTACGCCGCTGTATTAATTTTTTTATTTATCAACACGGTCTAATCTTAGGATCTTCGACTTCGTAGTGCAATTTCTTTTTTCTCGAAACGTTCCCACTCGACTTTAAAACACCCAGCTATTCGTTATCGTCACAAAGGACGGAATTTCCAGTTTTCTATTAGCGCAAGTTCTACGAGGCTCGCTGGGCAAGGAAAAATCGATGGACGTCGGGACCACAGCGTCTAATTTTCATTTAAATGAAACGACGTCGATGTAGATGTTTCGATTCGGTCCCTTCTTCCCCTGCAACCTCCCCTGACCCCCCTCCCTTTCTGCCGTCAGCCCGGGGGCTACGCGAAACGCTTTCGAACTTCCGGCCAAAGTTTAATTGTCTTTTGCTTGCGTTCTATCTAAATTCGTCGTTCGCCGGAACCCGGGCGTTTCTCTAGCGGCTAATCCATTTGATAAGGCCATCCTGTTGCCCCCCTTTTCCCTTTGGCAAAGGAAAGGTGTACGGGCGATTCGCGGCGCCGAATTGCCACAGACACCGCCATTTTGATCGCCGTTGACATCGTCGACGTTGCGTGACGCTCTTCTCGTTCTCCTGTTGACTTTTCCGCGCTTAATTAACTCGGTCTGCTCGCTTGGCCTTGCGGGACAAAACGCGAGCCACTCGCCGAATGACTCACGCTCCTCTTCATTGTCCGGCAGAATCCGATAAGACGCCTCGTGTCCGCCATATTTACTAAGATCGGATTTCCAGGACTCGGTGTAATAAGATCGACTGGCGACGCAAAGTTTCGGCTCGTAATCGGGATTAGCATCGTTTCCAGAACCCGTGTAACACATTCTGGAAAGCTGCAGAGAATGCTCCTTGAACTTACGCGAAAGAGGTTAGGAATTTCGCATAAATTAAATTTCTTATTTATTGATACCCTATTTCTTGAATCAGGCACTTTCGTTGATATCGTTAAACGCATCGAGTGGAAACAACCACCACCCCCCCCCCCCTCATTCCCCCCTACGATAATAATTTTTTACCTCGTTTCACGTTGATTCGCCGACAAGCAGCTTTCGCGGGGTGTTTAAGAAATTCGGAGGCTTTTACAAATAAACGCTCGCCTTGACCTATCCCATGCGACGGGAACGCTCTTTTTTACCCGACAGAAACAATAAACCGGGAATTTCGAGGCCTCCGCGGGGTTCGGGTTGCGTCAATCCGCCGTTAAAAGAAAGTAGATTTTCTTTGTGACGCACGCTGTCCACGAATCGCCACGAAAAAAAAACTGTTACGCGGTGCTCGTCTTCTGCAAACAATCGCCGAGCTAAGTGGCGTTCAAAAGGCTACGATAACCCGGTGGAATCGAAGCCTCTCCTTGGCTGCGTTTCGCTACAAACGACGTTTGGACGAACGTTGATTGCACTCCGGTGGCAGCAGTCTGACAGTTCTTTCGGCTGTTTGCGTTTTCCTGGCAACATGTCGACGACGTACGTTGATTGTATTCAAGTTGTTTCTAGTTTATGGCAAGCGACAGGCAATCGTTACAGTTGCATCTATTTCTCTAACGCTGGGCTGTGTTGATATACGTTGATTATATTCGCTGTTGACAAGTTGATGACTAACAACGTTCTAATTTATGGTAAGAGACTGACAATCGTTACAGTAGTATCTACTGTTCTAATACTAGGC